TTTTTAGAAGTTGTATTTTATACTTTTTTCAGATAAAAAGAGCTACCAAAGCTAAAAAATGAAATATGTATGGCAGGTTTTTTAATTGTGAAAGCATACAAAATGCATTGGGAGTATTTTTTTTAATACTTATATATGTATAATCAGAAAACATCTCTCAGAACAGCAGAGGGAAAAATAAGAGATACCTTTTAATTTTTATGTGTATGTGAGAGGTTAAAAGAATGAAAAGTGAACCAGAGAAAGGATTCAAAATAATTTTTCATCAGAAGTAAATTTCTGGAATTGTTATTAAGTTTTGTGAGACCAACATTTGTAATGTAAATAGCAGATGCCTTATCTGATATGTTTCATGCAATGTGTTGCATTCTGTGGTGACAGGAATAGTGCAGACTGAACACAATGTGAAAGTGATGTATGTTATATTTTTGGCATTGGCTTAGTTAAGTATGTGGCCAAAAAAAGTATAAGAGGAACTGAGTGAGATGGAAAGGTATTGAGGTTTGTTCTCCCATTTTTTGTAGTGTAATTAAAAATAATTCTGAATATTAGGAATTCCAGTAAGATCTGAGCATGTGTTTGATAAAGGATTAAAATTCCTTAGACACGTTTCCTGAGAATTAGGTTTTATAGAGCATGCAGGAAGCAGTAGTGTGAAAGAGACTTTCAAGGAAAATTGTTCTTGCCAGCCATCCTGTATATGCTTTCTGAAGTGGTGATCTGTCTCCTCATATAGAGCTCACATCTGGTTTACATACTTTTAATAACTTTTAATACCCTTCAGAGCATCCCTTATGTTTTATCTGCTTCAGTTTGGGTGGTGGAATTTCTAGGACTTCTTTTCCCCTCATGTCTTGTTTTTTGTAAGAGTTAGAAATTGTTACTGGTTTATCTTTAGAGTTCACCTGCATAAGGCACTGGATGCTATACTAGAGGAAGAATAATTCTGAACTGGGGAAGGACTGGAATAGATGTGGTTAGCATCTGAAATTAATCTTATGTACAGTACACCAAACATCAGCCCTTGGGGAGAAAATTTGGTTTCGTCTTTGGCTTTGTCACCAACTTGTGCAGATGTACAAAAGTATGTTAGGCTGCCTGTAAATCAAAGGTTTTTTAAGTGCACAGGTTATCATAAAGTTCAGTACAGAGTTCGTACAGGGGTAGTAGGTAATACCTCACTATTTTAAAATGTGCCGCATTTAGAGACAGTCATTGTATACTACTGTCTAATTAATTTCTCTGAAGTGATTACAAAGAAAATATCCTTCAACTATTGTTTGATTTTCTTTTGGTCATTCTTGTTTTACAGTGAGCTCAGTATAGTCAGTTTATGCTTTCATACCTGTGCACTATAGTTGTGCACTGTAGTAGTCCAAGAACTTTTTTTTCCTCATGTAGAGCCACTTAGTTTTACAGGACAAGGTGATATATTTCTGACCTGTAACACAATTTACTAAAACTGTGTTAGTTACCCCTAGTATATTGTATTTGCTGAAGGACTAGAAGAGAACAAATTTGATAAGAAAAACCCAGTCTGAAATGATATAATCTTGTAATGCAGTAGCAAATAAAGTAAATAACCAATTTTTAGCACTGGCAAAAATTTAGCCATTGAGTGTGTATTGAAATTTGTCTTTAGGACGTCCGATAATTGGAAGAGAGGGTAGACTATTAGACGCAGAACATCTGATGTAGTCAAAAAATGTTCTTGCTATATAATTACAAGAATAATTGAATAGGTTAAAATACATCTTCCCTTCAGCTCATGGTTACTGTCCACTCAGCTCAGGCAGTGTCTGTGAATGCTTCTAGCCTATTTTAATTCAAAGTAAGGCAAACCCATTTTAATCACCAGTGGAGCAGCTGGAACCAGCCTCTGTCAGAAGGAGGATGCTGGTCTCGTTTGAAACCGTACTCCCTGTATTTATTTAGTGGGAAAATACATTTCAGAGTTCAGGGTGTAGGATTTTAAAATCAATTGGAAAAGGAAATTGTGTTTTTCATCAAATAATTCCCTATTTTATGCCATTTGATGTGTATTAAAGATGCTTAGCTTTTCTAAATAAACAGCTTTGCATCTCTGGGTCTGAAAGTTGCACAGACATCTGAAGTATTAATGCAGCGGGGTGTTAGGAAAGTAAAGAGATTGCTGCATCCCAGCCCAGTACTTAGCAAGCAATACCAGCATTCCCATTTGGCTCTAGTCCAAGCACTGTGCCTCTGTATCTTTGTTTTGATGAATCGATGTAGATTGACTTCAGTTCAGGAGAGGATTTTGTCAGTCAGCTTTCAAGTCATGAACATTGAGGCCAGTCCCTAGTTTGTGGAGCTGACAGTACAAAAGTGAGTGTTTGACACGTGGCTTGCTCAGTGCATGGGGATAGAGGCTGTTGAGATTTTTCAGAGATCAGCCTCTAAATGAAGTTGTTCTGTTGGGTCACTCATCTGATTTACACACAAGCTGTTTCTATTGAAGCACCTGGGGCCTTTTGTTCAGGCTTGTGAATAAATCTCTTTCAGTCACCAACAGTAATTTAGCGTCACTGCTTCCTTCAATAGGTAAAAGGCAAGTAGGGGAATGACATTTCCTTCCACACTGCAACTTCACACTTATATTTTTAGAGAGGTAACACAACTGTATCACTAATGTGGATTTTGTTATATACTGGAGCAGATTCAGAAATCATCTAAGGTATTGGTAGTTTTTTACTTTGTACTTCCTAATTCTGGAACAATACTAAGTGGCAGGAGTGCATGGGTGAGGAATGATATCCTGTTGGACAGAGAGCTCTGCAGAATAGCCATTCCATGTTTTCCTTTGTTATTGTGGCAATTTTGGAGGAAGACATTTCATCGCCTTGTAAATTCCCTGGCACAATAGAGTGCCCTACCTGCAGATTGTGATGACTCTGACTTGAGCTGTAATCTCGTATAAACCTTGAGTCAACTTAAGCTTGCCTTTCCACTGACAGAATGCTCCTCATTTTTCCTGCCTCTGTACCGTTCCATGCTTCAGTCACTACAAATATTTAAAGTAACTTCTTTGATTTATTTGTCAGTCTAAATGGCAGTCAGTTCTTTGAGTTCATTATCACAGCATGAAAACTTGAGCCAGCCCAAGGGATGGGAAAGCTTGAGAATATGGAATAAATGATAGCTGCAAGTCTTGGGTAACTCTGTAGGGGAAAAAAAAAATCATCCCATATTTATTTTGTATTATGTTATGAATCCTGGGATGGATAATGGTAAGCAGTTGATGCTTACCTAGTGAATTTTCTCTGCATCATCAGAGGCACCATGTAGTGAATCTCCTGTTACTGTGACGTTCTTGGAGAATAATAAACAACTTTGATTTAAATAAATAAAACTGGTCAAATGCTTAAACATGGATGGTCCATTTCATGTATGTTTTTTTTTTAAAGTTATTGTCACAACAGCTTTCAGTAGCTGTAGTGATACATATTACATTGCAAAGAAAAGACTGCTGGCATTTGGAAGGTTTTTTATATGTGGGAATGTTTGGGAGGTTAGAACGGTGGACAGGGAAGTATGGCTCACTTTTGTAGCTTGTTACAATACTATGGCTGTAATTTTTTGGCTTCAGGAGGGGCATTACATACAAGTTCATACAAATACAATTATTTGTACTCAAATTCTTGAGTTTCAGTATTTTTATAAAGTGAGAATTGTTTGGTTGTTTTCTTTTTTAAATGAAAATGCAGCAGTGAATGTATTTTAAGGTATCATAAACTTCTATTGAGAACGTTTCTATAGGTTATATTATCCAGCAGTCTTTAAATACTATTTCGGGAACAGCAGTGTAAATTGCAACAAAGTACAGCAAAGAATGTGGTGACAGACGAGGTTAATCTCTGTGTCTGTCTGCACAGGACCAGATTATGGATGTTGGTGATCACCTTTCTGCTCATTCAGAGATGGGTTCTGTTGCTCTTACATACTCATTTAGTGCAAGATTGTACAAGGTTTTCTAGCCCCCTAAAGAGCAGGAAGAAATGGTGGCTCAGAAGGCAGCTGTCATTTCATACCCATTCCAGCTGCCCTTTCCACTCAGATTTCCTCCCATCCCCTCCCCCTCTATTGAAAAAAAAAAAAAAAAAAAAGCAGGAGCATAATTGCAAAAAAAAAGAAGAGTATGAGGATTTAAAATCTCTAGCAGCTAATCTATCACATCCTTCAGTTTTCATGGCTATCTGCCAATTTAAAATACACTTGTTTTTTCCAGCCTTGCCAGTAATTAGACAAATGCAGTAATGCTTATGGCATCAAAAACTCTGTGACTGGTAAAAGCAATTGCTGTCATAATGCATCCCTAAATTTAATAGTAGTGGTGTGAAATGAATAAGCAGCTCTCTATTTCAAGGGGTAATGGCTTTAACTATCAAAATTGCTAGTATTTTCCTTGATTGGCTGCTTTGGCTCCTTTTTTGTATTTCTGTTTGTAGGAACTGAATCAATTTATTATAACAATTGTATTTTATTTAACAAACAACAAGGCAAGCAGAAATATGAAACTCTTATAAAGTGTCACCAACTTCTATTCACCTTGGATCATAGGTTTTTACTTTTATCCCACTTACAGTCAAAACACAAACCTTTTCTTTCTCTGCAAGTATTACAATTAAAGTTGTCATTTACTTTTCTGCTTTCCTTGCAAAATTGCTCGCCTTGTGTTCTGCCTGGAGCATTGCTATGGATGGAGAAGAGGTCTGATTAATTGGAAGGAAACTTTTTGTTACTGGGAAAACTCAACACACTGTTGTGAAAAATAAATCAAAATTTACTTTCTGGATCCATAGTGCCTTTTTCTTGCTACTATGACATCTGTAAAGCTTCTCTCAAGGAAAAGATGCTTCAGCAGTTAGTGCTCTCTTAAAGGGCAGTTGTGTTGATGCCATTTGGCTAAGCCTTAAAAGTTCCTGTAATCTGTGCCATCCTGTCTCATACAGTCCCATCTCATAGTTGTCCTTTCTCTGCAGTGCTCTATGCCCAGATCTCTGTGGCTGGGCTGCTCCAGCCTGGCGGACAGCATGCCCTCGCTGCGATGCCTGTATAACCCAGGGACTGGCGCACTCCCAGCTTTCCAGGTACTTTCTGTCTCTCCCCACTCCTTTTCTCTCCATCTGTGTGCGTGTGCATCTCCTTTACTTGCCTGCTTGACCTCTATTTATTCTGGTTCATACTCTATGCCTCTCCTCTGTCATTCTGATCTCTGGTATTTTAACCCATCTTGTGTAGATTCAGGTCAGCTGGGGCATTTCCATTTACCTTGATATAGTTATTTCATCTAAATTGGCTTGATACCATCATCTTTTTCATTTGCTTTAAATTGTGTCAAAAAGATACCACTTAATTATATCTGGCAAACAGCATCCATCACGCAGTCTCCAATCTGGCTATTCTGGCTATTTGCGATTCCCCTCCTATCTAAATTCTTTGTCTGCAACTTAAAGGACTGAGAGGATAAGTTCATTGCCATGATGAGAATTGATGCCAGCAATTCTTTACTTCAGCTTTGTTACCAGGAGTCTGGACATTTTCACTACAGAAAATTATTGTTCAAGTAAGTTGTCAGTCAAAAGGCAAATAAAGGAAACCTTTTTCTTTTTTTTTTCCTTTGATCTCTGAATTTGTTAGATTCAGGCTTTTCTCTGTCGTGAGTCAGCTTTCTGGTAAACAAGTTTGTTCAGACCCTTTGTGTGACCAGTGAATCCTAAAAAATGCAGACATTCTCCTATGGGAGAGTTAGACAAGTGCTGGGTGAGCATCAAGAAACCTAGAGAAGGCTCTCAAGATCATTGCAAGCATTTTTGATGACGTGAATGTAACAGCAGAGACTGGTCGAGAGATGTTATATTCACATTGGAAACTCTGAGGTATTCTATGAAGTGCAGTGACTGAGGGACTGCAGGAGTATCTCTGTAAAGAGCATGTTTATTTGAGCTTATGGTAGCATGAACATCTACTTCAAGGTTTATGCTGCTAGAATATGCTACTGGTAGCCTAACCTGTGGCAGAGAGTTTGATTTACCAGCATCTTTCAAAACCAGATAAAAAGAATAGGCCAGAATATTTCTGTGATTTTCACATGTTTTTGGGTAAGTTCGTTATGCGCCTCTAAAGGAAAGTATGCAAAGATTATTTTAAATTTTACTTCTTGCTCCCAGAGCTAGGCTAGTGTGGTGGAAATAATCCTCTTAGTCCCAGAGGAGGCTTAAGTGTCTTGCATCATTTTGCTGCAACTCTTTTGGTGACACAACAGTAGCACTGATGGACTCTGGAAGGTGTCCTGCCAGGCATCCTTTTCTGAACCAAGCTTTTAGTGGAGCTTTCCGTGGGGGAGGGGGAAACATGACGTTTTGTTAGTCTACAAGGACTCTAGAGACAGCAGGCAGGGTTTAGACTCCTAATCCTGATTTTCATAATTTAACTAAATCGGATGGGTCTAATTTTTGGGCTTTTGGCTGTTGAATAAATCTCAGATCTCTTTAAGCTTAGCAGTACATAAAGAGTAATTTATAAATTCAAATTGACGCTTCTCCCTTTCTACTTGAATGTTTTTTGGTTACTTAAAATAGGCATACATTACAAAGGGGAAGATAAATAAATTTATTTTAGCTTAAGATATCCTTGCTAATGACAGATATGAACAATAACTGTTCTGCTAGTGCAGTGCATTGATATTTGGGGTCAAATGAGCCAGCTGTACAACCATTCACTGTGTTGGGATACTGGTAGGACTGACATTCGCATTTTTGCATATTTTGAGAGACATTTCCGTGTATATTTAGTGACTTTGGGTATTGGGAAAGTATCTCCTACGTGCCATCTGAAATGGTAGACTGGTACTCTTCACTGAACTCTGACTGCTGTGTTGAGGAACACATTTACTGCCAGTTGAGAGAGAAACCACATTGCCAGCAACAGCTTCTGCAGCACTGAGTCATCCACATTTCAGTCCATTTTTTTCAATGGGCTCTGATTGATCCTCATTAGCTTGCATGGTTTGAAAAAACTCCCCTCTGAGGCATGGCTTTCTGCATTTTCCAGTGCAGAAGGGAGTGGTTTGGAGCCTGCTTGAAGCAGTGATGCAGTATTTCATCATTCTTTAATGCCTTTTTTTTGGTATCAAATCTTTGGGAAAGCGTTAAAGACTTTACTGTAGCCCAGTGAATTTTCTCATATTAAGTTACTTTCTTTTTTCCGTAGCAAGCTTGAAGTAACTGGAGAAGCATATCAATGTTCTTTGCTTGTGGCAAAAGAGAAGATGCCATCTGGAAGGCTACTTAGTCACTGCTGAATTTGTCTAGTTATTTACATGGCTGCCTTCAGATGCTCAGACAGAAATGTGGGAAGATGCTCTTTGTGAATAGCTCAGTTAAAGTCTTGCTGACTGCTCATGGGAAGCATTGGCAGGTAGTAGATGAAGAGATGATTCTGTTCATATGTCAGGTAACTTTGTTTTTCCTCTTTGTGTTTTTATTATTGGAGACACTTAGGTGAAAACAGGATCTTCTGGTTCCTCAGCCCTGGTTTTAGTTATCCTGCAGTGGGAAAGGCTTTAAGGCTGAACTCGTGAATAGGGGAATAAGGAACAAGAAACAGTTCTTTTTTTATATCCTTTATCTCAAAGGGCTTTGCAACTGACAGTCTACTGTGTAACTGAATTTCATAGCAATCATGGTTGAAGATGGCAGCAAATTGGAACATGAACTCCTATAAGGCACAGTGGGAAGTGGTCAAAGAGGATATTTTAACAAGAGAAAAAGGCCAGCCATTCCATTTGCAGTGTTTTGATGCCAGATTTTACAGTATTATTCTGCAAAGCAACTGAAAGTGAGGTTGCATGCAGATTCTCCTCAAAAATAAATTATGCAGAATATACTCCTTTTTCATAGAAACTTGTGCTTCGTAAGTTTCCAGATGTGCCAACAAGTGTCTGTTTTCATGACATTTTCCATGTGAAGATAATTACTTTCCCTGTTGAAATATTTTTCCATGCATGCTCACAATGCTCTGTTTATGTTGCTTTTCATAGTTGCAGGCCTTTGAAAATTCAAATTTACAATTATACCCATCAAGTATGCCAAGGGAATGATTGTATTAATCATTTCAGGTCTGCAGAAGACCAACGTATTTCCTTTAATTCATTTCTGTAGGCTGTTGTATAAATGAGGAGGTTTGAAGAGGAATTTTAAAGGCTTGCCAAAGAGTTTATGTATCACCATAATCACAGAGAGCAGTCCACCTCTTCCTTTTTACCTAATTCACAGCCAACACAAATACCAGCTTCTGTTTAGATTGTGAACTTCTTGGGACAAGAGTCACACTTTTACTTTGTCTGGAGCCTAGACACAGGTGGAGAAGAACAGAGTTGACTTGTCAGCTTTATTTTGCCAAATCTGGAACTTTTGTTTCTGTAACAGGCTCTAATAATCAAAGAGGAGGATTAACTTTTGTTGTAGAAGTAGCAGCATCTTGTTGAATATAGAAGCGTCTCTGTAGAATGTCAGAAATTTGCATTTTGTTTTCCCTGAAGATCTTGGCCATGAAGAACTAGACATCAGGGTTTGTCAGGTAAAGGGGAAGATTTTCTACTTGGTTTTGCAGAAATGAGCGTGTGTATGTGACTTCCTTGGTCTGGGCTAAATGCTTTGTCCTGGGGAGGAAGGCATGGGCGTACTGTACTAGGCAAATTGAAGCAAAAGCAGTGCACTTGAGGCTGTGCTGTGTGGATGTGACCTCGATGGACTGAGATTACTTTAGCAGAAAGGTGAAAATGCAGTAGATGTTAAAGGGATGCAGTGATGGAAGTCTGTTGTCCCTGTGAGACAGACATGAACTTATTTTTCAAATTACTTTTACATTATTTTTTCGTGATGTTTATATTCTTGTGTTACAAAACGGAGTATTTGTTAAAGAAGTGTTGTCAGTGTATTGGTGGAAGCAGTTGTGTCTGTAAATTTCCTTCAGCCCGTTCATGCACTTTTGTGTTAGAAGTTGACATTTTATTGCTGGAAATACAGTGTAAATGTGAGTAGTAGTACATAATTTCTGGTTATACAGGAGGTTAGAGCTAGAGTCTTGGGGTGGGCAAACTGGCTGCTCAGAAATGCGTTTATGAGAAATACGTTTGAAGGAAATTGTTTGGCTTTGGAGCCAGTGTTTGCTGGTGTGCATAGTTCTGTCTCTAATTGGGAAAGATATGGGGTGTCCAGTCATACACTCCATCAGCATGGAGACACTAAGCCTGCTTTGTATTCACCCCTCTCGCTCTGCCAGTGGCTGTGTGAAAGCTGCCCGGGGGCTGTTTACAGTGCACCTCTAAAGCAGAATCCTAATTTTTGTGACTAATAGCCAAAGCATGTGGCTCCAGCACCCCCCTGGCTGGCAGTGGGCTCTGCCCTGGTAGTGAATGTAGTTAGGTGGCCCCCAACTGTTTACAAGACAGCAGAGGTGAGATCTTTGATTGACAAGTCAGAAATGCATTAGATCATTCCTCTGCCAGTCTCTGGTTCATGCTGTTAAAAATGTCAGCCTCTCCAAGTTTGAATGGCAGCCTGAGGGCCTCAGAAGCTTTTTGTTTTCTGAGATGGAAACACAAATTGGATGTGTGCCTGAGCGCTTCATCCTGGGCTGTAATTTCATCTTTTAGCTAAGAACCACAAGGTACATGAGCAAAGCACCCTGTAAACAATAATACTGGGGAAAAAAATAAACAAGGTCGTGTTTCTGGTACGTTGATCCACTGGTGTCCTGACCTCTATCACGTTGAACATCTCCACTCTGATTGCTGTTCCCTTTGGCATTACAATGAGAGGAGATAGACTGACACAGGAGGCTAAGATTTAAAGTTGCAGTGCTGTTGCACATTCCTTGTATTGGCTATGAAATATTGAACTGCCACGATGTGACACCTAGTTTTTTAAGCAAAGTTTCTTGTTGGAGGTGTTCAGCAGCAGTCTTTCCTGTTTTTCCTCATTTTACCACCTGGCAGGAGCAATTATAAAGGCACGAGAGACAGTACAAGAAAGAGCAGAAACAAAGCCAAATCACATAATTTTTGTGTTTGACTCCAGCCCCATTT